TGGTGTGTATAGTGAGTGTGGTGTGTATAGTGAGTGTGGTGTGTATAGTGTGGTGTGTATAGTGAGTGTGGTGTGTATAGTGTGGTGTGTATAGTGTGGTGTGTATAGTGTGGTGTGTATAGTGAGTGTGGTGTGTATAGTGTAGTGTTTATAGTGTAGTGTTTATAGTGAGTGTGTATAGTGTAGTGTGTATAGTGAGTGTAGTGTGTATAGTGAGTGTGGTGTGTATAGTGTGGTGTGTATAGTGTGGTGTGTATAGTGTAGTGTGTATAGTGTGTGGTGTGTATAGTGTGGTGTGTATAGTGATTGTGTATAGTGAGTGTGGTGTGTTTAGTGTAGTGTTTATAGTGAGTGTGTATAGTGTGGTGTGTATAGTGTAGTGTTTATAGTGTGGTGTGTATAGTGAGTGTAGTGTGTATAGTGAGTGTAGTGTGTATAGTGAGTGTAGTGTGTATAGTTGTGAGTGTGTATAGTGAGTGTAGTGTGTATAGTGTGGTGTGTATAGTGTGGTGTGTATAGTGAGTGTGGTGTGTATAGTGCGGTGTTTATAGTGAGTGTGTATAGTGTAGTGTGTATAGTGTAGTGTGTATAGTGTGGTGTGTATAGTGTAGTGTGTATAGTGTGTGGTGTGTATAGTGTGGTGTGTATAGTGATTGTGTATAGTGAGTGTGGTGTGTTTAGTGTAGTGTTTATAGTGAGTGTGTATAGTGTGGTGTGTATAGTGTGGTGTGTATAGTGTAGTGTTTATAGTGAGTGTGTATAGTGAGTGTAGTGTGTATAGTGAGTGTAGTGTGTATAGTGAGTGTAGTGTGTATAGTGAGTGTAGTGTGTATAGTGTAGTGTGTATAGTGAGTGTAGTGTGTATAGTGTGGTGTGTATAGTGAGTGTAGTGTGTATAGTGTGGTGTGTATAGTGAGTGTAGTGTGTATAGTGAGTGTAGTGTGTATAGTGAGTGTAGTGTGTATAGTGTGGTGTGTATAGTGAGTGTTGTGTGTATAGTGAGTGTAGTGTGTATAGTGTAGTGTTTATAGTGAGTGTGTATAGTGTAGTGTTTATAGTGAGTGTGTATAGTGTTTTGTGTATAGTGAGTGTGTATAGTGTGGTGTGTATAGTGAGTGTAGTGTGTATAGTGAGTGTAGTGTGTATAGTGTAGTGTGTATAGTGAGTGTAGTGTGTATAGTGTAGTGTGTATAGTGTGGTGTGTATAGTGAGTGTGGTGTGTATAGTGTAGTGTTTATAGTGAGTGTGTATAGTGTGGTGTGTATAGTGAGTGTGTATAGTGTAGTGTTTATAGTGAGTGTGTATAGTGAGTGTAGTGTGTATAGTGAGTGTAGTGTGTATAGTGAGTGTAGTGTGTATAGTGAGTGTGGTGTGTATAGTGTAGTGTGTATAGTGAGTGTGTATAGTGTGGTGTGTATAGTGAGTGTGGTGTGTATAGTGAGTGTAGTGTGTATAGTGTTGGTGTGTATAGTGTAGTGTGTATAGTGTGGTGTGTATAGTGAGTGTGGTGTGTATAGTGAGTGTAGTGTGTATAGTGAGTGTAGTGTGTATAGTGAGTGTGGTGTGTATAGTGTAGTGTGTATAGTGAGTGTAGTGTGTATAGTGAGTGTAGTGTGTATAGTGAGTGTAGTGTGGTGTGTATAGTGAGTGTAGTGTGTATAGTGTGGTGTGTATAGTGAGTGTGGTGTGTATAGTGAGTGTGGTGTGTATAGTGTGGTGTGTATAGTGTGGTGTGTATAGTGTGGTGTGTATAGTGAGTGTAGTGTGTATAGTGTGGTGTGTATAGTGAGTGTGGTGTGTATAGTGAGTGTAGTGTGTATAGTGTGGTGTGTATAGTGTGGTGTGTATAGTGAGTGTAGTGTGTATAGTGTAGTGTGTATAGTGAGTGTAGTGTGTATAGTGAGTGTAGTGTGTATAGTGAGTGTAGTGTGTATAGTGTGGTGTGTATAGTGAGTGTAGTGTGTATAGTGTGGTGTATATAGTGAGTGTAGTGTGTATAGTGAGTGTGGTGTATATAGTGTGGTGTGTATAGTGAGTGTAGTGTGTATAGTGAGTGTGTATAGTGAGTGTGGTGTGTATAGTGAGTGTGGTGTGTATAGTGAGTGTAGTGTGTATAGTGTGGTGTGTATAGTGAGTGTGGTGTGTATAGTGTAGTGTGTATAGTGCGGTGTTTATAGTGAGTGTGTATAGTGAGTGTAGTGTGTATAGTGAGTGTAGTGTGTATAGTGTAGTGTGTATAGTGAGTGTGTATAGTGAGTGTTGTGTTTATAGTGAGTGTGTATAGTGAGTGTAGTGTGTATAGTGTGGTGTGTATAGTGAGTGTGGTGTGTGTGGTGTATAGTGTGGTGTGTATAGTGTGGTGTATAGTGTGGTGTGTATAGTGAGTGTGGTGTGTATAGTGTGGTGTGTATAGTGAGTGTAGTGTGTATAGTGAGTGTGGTGTGTATAGTGAGTGTAGTGTGTATAGTGAGTGTGGTGTGTATAGTGTGGTGTGTATAGTGAGTGTGGTGTGTATAGTGAGTGTGGTGTGTATAGTGAGTGTGGTGTGTATAGTGAGTGTAGTGTGTATAGTGAGTGTAGTGTGTATAGTGAGTGTGGTGTGTATAGTGTGGTGTGTATAGTGAGTGTGGTGTGTATAGTGAGTGTGGTGTGTATAGTGAGTGTAGTGTGTATAGTGAGTGTAGTGTGTATAGTGTAGTGTGTATAGTGAGTGTAGTGTGTATAGTGAGTGTAGTGTGTATAGTGAGTGTGTATAGTGTGGTGTGTATAGTGTGGTGTGTATAGTGAGTGTAGTGTGTATAGTGAGTGTGTATAGTGTGGTGTGTATAGTGTGGTGTGTATAGTGAGTGTAGTGTGTATAGTGAGTGTGGTGTGTATAGTGAGTGTGGTGTGTATAGTGTGGTGTGTATAGTGAGTGTAGTGTGTATAGTGAGTGTAGTGTGTATAGTGAGTGTGGTGTGTATAGTGTGGTGTGTATAGTCAGTGTAGTGTGTATAGTGAGTGTGGTGTGTATAGTGAGTGTAGTGTGTATAGTGAGTGTAGTGTGTATAGTGAATGTAGTGTGTATAGTGAGTGTAGTGTGTATAGTGAGTGTGGTGTGTATAGTGAGTGTGGTGTGTATAGTGAGTGTGGTGTGTATAGTGAGTGTAGTGTGTATAGTGAGTGTGGTGTGTATAGTGAGTGTGTATAGTGTAGTGTGTATAGTGAGTGTAGTGTGTATCGTGAGTGTAGTGTGTATAGTGAGTGTGGTGTGTATAGTGAGTGTGTATAGTGTAGTGTGTATAGTGAGTGTAGTGTGTATAGTGAGTGTGTATAGTGTAGTGTGTATAGTGAGTGTGGTGTGTATAGTGAGTGTAGTGTGTATAGTGTAGTGTTTATAGTGAGTGTGTATAGTGAGTGTGGTGTGTATAGTGAGTGTAGTGTGGTGTGTATAGTGAGTGTGGTGTGTATAGTGAGTGTGGAGTGTATAGTGAGTGTGGTGTGTATAGTGAGTGTGGTGTGTATAGTGTGGTGTGTATAGTGAGTGTGGTGTGTATAGTGAGTGTGGTGTGTATAGTGAGTGTGGTGTGTATAGTGAGTGTAGTGTGTATAGTGAGTGTAGTGTGTATAGTGAGTGTGGTGTGTATAGTGAGTGTGGTGTGTATAGTGTAGTGTTTATAGTGAGTGTGTATAGTGTGGTGTGTATAGTGAGTGTAGTGTGTATAGTGAGTGTAGTGTGTATAGTGAGTGTGGTGTGTATAGTGAGTGTGGTGTGTATAGTGAGTGTAGTGTGTATAGTGAGTGTGGTGTGTATAGTGTGGTGTGTATAGTGTGGTGTGTATAGTGAGTGTAGTGTGTATAGTGAGTGTGTATAGTGTGGTGTGTATAGTGAGTGTAGTGTGTATAGTGAGTGTAGTGTGTATAGTGAGTGTAGTGTGTATAGTGAGTGTAGTGTGTATAGTGAGTGTGGTGTGTATAGTAAGTGTGGTGTGTATAGTGAGTGTAGTGTGTATAGTGAGTGTAGTGTGTATAGTGAGTGTAGTGTGTATAGTGAGTGTGGTGTGTATAGTGAGTGTGGTGTGTATAGTGAGTGTAGTGTGTATAGTGAGTGTAGTGTGTATAGTGAGTGTGGTGTGTATAGTGAGTGTAGTGTGTATAGTGAGTGTAGTGTGTATAGTGAGTGTAGTGTGTATAGTGAGTGTAGTGTGTATAGTGAGTGTGGTGTGTATAGTGAGTGTGGTGTGTATAGTGTAGTTTTTATAGTGAGTGTGTATAGTGAGTGTGGTGTGTATAGTGAGTGTGGTGTGTATAGTGAGTGTGGTGTGTATAGTGAGTGTAGTGTGTATAGTGAGTGTAGTGTGTATAGTGAGTGTAGTGTGTATAGTGTGGTGTGTATAGTGAGTGTAGTGTGTATAGTGAGTGTGGTGTGTATAGTGAGTGTAGTGTGTATAGTGAGTGTAGTGTGTATAGTGAGTGTGGTGTGTATAGTGAGTGTAGTGTGTATAGTGAGTGTAGTGTGTATAGTGAGTGTGGTGTGTATAGTGAGTATAGTGTGTATAGTGAGTGTGGTGTGTATAGTGAGTGTAGTGTGTATAGTGAGTGTAGTGTGTATAGTGAGTGTGGTGTGTATAGTGAGTGTAGTGTGTATAGTGAGTGTGGTGTGTATAGTGAGTGTGGTGTGTATAGTGAGTGTGGTGTGTATAGTGAGTGTAGTGTGTATAGTGAGTGTAGTGTGTATAGTGAGTGTGGTGTGTATAGTGAGTGTGGTGTGTATAGTGAGTGTGGTGTGTATAGTGAGTGTAGTGTGTATAGTGAGTGTAGTGTGTATAGTGAGTGTGGTGTGTATAGTGAGTGTAGTGTGTATAGTGAGTGTAGTGTGTATAGTGAGTGTGGTGTGTATAGTGAGTGTAGTGTGTATAGTGAGTGTAGTGTGTATAGTGAGTGTGGTGTGTATAGTGAGTGTAGTGTGTATAGTGAGTGTGGTGTGTATAGTGTTGGTGCGGTGTTGGTGCGGTGTCGGTGGGTGCAGGACGCGCGTTGCTGAGCGCGGTGTGCAACGAGTCCAACGCAGGGTCAGGGGCACCCTGAGTCAGATCGGCTCCAAACTTCCCCGGCTGGGACTCAACAACCAGAAGCTACCCAAAGTCACCGGTAGCACAGCACAGCTACAACTACCATGTCACTCACTCACGCACTCACTCACCCACTGACTCACTCACCACACACTCGCTCACTCACGCACTCACTCACGCACTCACTCACCCACCCGCTCACCCACTCACTCGCTCACTCACTCACCCACCCGCTCACCCACTCACTCACCACTCACTCGCTCACTCGCGCACTCACTCACCCACCCGCTCACCCACTGACTCACCACTCACTCGCTCACTCGCACACTCTCTCACCCACCCACTCACCCACTGACTCACCACACACTCGCTCACTCGCTACTCACCACACTCACCGACTCGCTCACCACACACTCGCACACTCACTCACCCACCCACTCACCCACTCACTCACCACACACTCAATCACGCACTCACTCACCAACCCGCTCACCCACTGACTCACCACACACTCGCTCACTCACGCACTCACTCACCCACCCGCTCACCCACTGACTCACCAGACACTCGCTCACTCGCTACTCACCACACTCACTGACTCACTCACCACTCACTCGCTCACTCGCACACTCACTCACCCACCCACTCACCCAATGACTCACCAGACACTTGCTCACTCGCTACTCACGACACTCACCGACTCACTCACCACTCACTCGCTCACACGCACACTCACCCACCACACACACACCCCACACACACACACACACACCACACACACCACACACCCACCCACACACCCATACACTCACCCACTCACCCACCCACACACCCACACACTCACCCACACACTCACCTACACATCCACTCACTGACCCACCCACCCATACACCCACACACTCACCCACCACACAATAACACACATACTCACCCACTCACACACACTCACTCACCCACCCACACACTCACCCACACACCCACTCACTCACCCACCCACCCACACACTCACCCACTCACCCACACACCCACTCACACACCCACACACCCACTCACACACCCACTCACACACCCACTCACACACTCACACATCCACTCACACACACACTCACCCACACACTCACCCACACACTCACCCACACACCCACCGTGTCTCCACAGTGAATCCACACGAGGTAGACCACACACACACTCACCCACACAAACTCACCCACACACACTCACCCACACACCCACTCACACACCCACTCAAACACTCATCCACCGTGTCTCCACATTGAACCCACACGAGGTAGACCACACACACACTCACACACACACACACACACCCACTCACACTCACACACCCACTCACACACCCACTCACACACCCACTCACACACTCACACACCCACTCACACACTCACACACCCACTCACACACCCACTCACTCACACACTCACACACTCACACACCCACTCACACACTCACACACCCACTCACACACCCACTCACACACCCACTCACACACTCACACACCCACTCACACACTCACACACCCACTCACACACCCACTCACACACCCACTCACACACTCACTCACACACTCACACACCCACTCACACACTCACTCACACACCCACACACCCACTCACACACCCACTCACACACCCACTCACACACCCACCCACTCACACACCCACTCACACACCCACACACTCACTCACACACCCACATACACACTCTCTCACACACACACACACTCACTCACACACCCACAAACCCGCTCACACACTCACACACCCACTCACACATCAACTCACACACCCACTCACACACCCACTCACACACCCACTCACACACCCACTCACACACTCACACCCACACTCACACACCCACTCACACACACACTCACACACCCACTTACACACCCACTCACACACCCACTCACACACTCACTCACACACTCACACACCCACTCACACACTCACTGACACACTCACACACCCACTCACACACCCACACACCCACCCACACACCCACACACTCACCCACACACCCACACACCCACTCACACACCCACACGCTACCCACTCACACACTCACACACCCACTCACTCACACACTCACACACCCACTCACACACTCACACACCCACTCACACACCCACTCACACACACACCCACTCACACACACACCCACTCACACACTCACACACCCACTCACACACCCACTCACACACACACTCACACACCCACCCACACACTCACCCACCGTGTCTCCACAGTGAACCCACACGAGGTAGACCACTCACACACTCACACACACACTCACACACTCACACCCACTCACACACCCATACACCCACTCACACACTCACACACACTCACACACCCACACACACCCACTCACACACTCACACACCCACACACTCACCCACACACTCACACACTTACACACCCACTCACACACTCACACACCCACACACACCCACTCACACACACACACCCACACACACACCCACACACTCACACACCCACACACACACCCACACACACACTCACACACTCACACACCCACTCACACACACACACACACACCCACACACACACTCACACACCCACACACACCCACTCACACACTCACACACTCACACACCCCCACACACACCCACACACTCACACACTCACTCACACACTCACACACTCACTCACACACTCACTCACTCACACACCCACTCACACACCCACTCACACACTCACCCACACACGCACACACTCACACACCCACCCACACACTCACACACTCACACACACACACACTCACACACCCACTCACACACCCACCCACCGTGTCTCCACAGTGAACCCACACGAGATAGACCACACACACACTCACACACCCACCCACACACTCACACACTCACACACACACACTAACCCACATACACACCCACTCACACACCCACCCACCGTGTCTCCACAGTGAACCCACACGAGGTAGACCACACACACACTCACACACTCACACACCTACACACCCACCCACACACTCACACACTCACACACCCACACACTAACCCACACACTCACACACCCACCGTGTCTCCACAGTGAACCCACACGAGGTAGACCACACACACACTCACACACTCACACACCCACACACCCACCCACACACTCACACACTCACACACCCACACACCCACCCACACACTCACACACTCACACACACACACTAACCCACACACTCACACACCCACCGTGTCTCCACAGTGAACCCACACGAGGTAGACCACACACTCACACACACACTCACACACACACACTCACACACCCACACACACCCACACACACCCACTCACACACACCCACTCACTCACACTCACACACACACACACCCACTCACACACACTCACACACACACACACCCACTCACACACACTCACACACACACACACTAACCCACACACTCACACACCCACCGTGTCTCCACAGTGAACCCACACGAGGTAGACCACACACACACTCACACACTCACACACCCACACACCCACACACTCACACACACACTCACACACACACCCACTCACACACACACTCACACACCCACCCACCGTGTCTCCACAGTGAACCCACACGAGGTAGACCACACACTCACACACCCACACACCCACACACACACACTCACACACTCACACACCCACACACCCACCCACACACTCACACACACTAACCCACTCACACACCCACTCAGACACCCACCCACCGTGTCTCCACAGTGAACCCACACGAGGTAGACCACACACACACTCACACACTCACACACCCACACACCCACCCACACACTCACACACTCGCACACACACACACACTAACCCACACACTCACACACTCACACACCCACCGTGTCTCCACAGTGAACCCACACGAGGTAGACCACACACTCACCCACACACCCACACACCCACACACCCACACACCCACACACTCACACACTAACCCACTCACACACACACCCACCCACCGTGTCTCCACAGTGAACCCACACGAGGTAGACCACACACTCACTCACACACTCACACACACACACACTAACCCACACACTCACACACTCACACACCCACCGTGTCTCCACAGTGAACCCACACGAGGTAGACCACACACACACTCACACACTCACACACCCACACACCCACACACTCACACACACACCCACCGTGTCTCCACAGTGAACCCACACGAGGTAGACCACACACACACTCACACACCCACCCACCGTGTCTCCACAGTGAACCCACACGAGGTAGACCACACACTCACTCACACACTCACACACACACACACACTAACCCACACACTCACACACTCACACACCCACCGTGTCTCCACAGTGAACCCACACGAGGTAGACCACACACACACACACCCACACTCACACACACACACCCACACACTCACACACCCACCGTGTCTCCACAGTGAACCCACACGAGGTAGACCACACACACACTCACACACTCACACACACACACACCCACCCACACACTCACACACACACACACTAACCCACACACTCACACACCCACACACCCACCGTGTCTCCACAGTGAACCCACACGAGGTAGACCACCCACACACTCACACACTCACACACACCCACCCACACACTCACACACCCACCGTGTCTCCACAGTGAACCCACACGAGGTAGACCACACACACACACACCCACCCACACACTCACACACCCACCGTGTCTCCACAGTGAACCCACACGAGGTAGACCACACACACACACACCCACTCACACACACACTCACACACTCACACACTCACACCCACACTCACACACACACACTAACCCACACACTCACACACTCACACACCCACCGTGTCTCCACAGTGAACCCACACGAGGTAGACCACACACACACTCACACACTCACACACCCACACACCCACACACTCACACACACACCCACCGTGTCTCCACAGTGAACCCACACGAGGTAGACCACACACTCACACACACACCCACCCACCGTGTCTCCACAGTGAACCCACACGAGGTAGACCACACACACACTCACACACACACACTCACACACCCACCCACCGTGTCTCCACAGTGAACCCACACGAGGTAGACCACACACACACACACACACTAACCCACACTAACCCACTCACACACACACCCACCGTGTCTCCACAGTGAACCCACACGAGGTAGACCACACACACACTCACACACACACTCACACACCCACCCACCGTGTCTCCACAGTGAACCCACACGAGGTAGACCACACACACACACTAACCCACACTAACCCACTCACACACACACCCACCGTGTCTCCACAGTGAACCCACACGAGGTAGACCACACACACACTCACACACACACACTCACACACTCACACACTCACACACCCACACACTCACACACTCACACACCCACACACTCACACACTCACACACCCACCGTGTCTCCACAGTGAACCCACACGAGGTAGACCACACACTCACACACACACTCACACTAACCCACACACCCACACACTCACACACACACTAACCCACTCACACACCCACCCACCGTGTCTCCACAGTGAACCCACACGAGGTAGACCACACACACTCACACACTCACACACCCACCGTGTCTCCACAGTGAACCCACACGAGGTAGACCACACACACACACTCACACACTCACACACTCACCCACCCACCGTGTCTCCACAGTGAACCCACACGAGGTAGACCACACACACACTCACACACCCACCCACTGTGTCTCCACAGTGAACCCACACGAGGTAGACCACACACACACACTCACACACTCACACACTAACCCACTCACACACTCACACACCCACCGTGTCTCCACAGTGAACCCACACG